TTGCCAGTTTGCAAAATACACAAATTTTGATTCTGCCGGGGGGAAAAAACCCACCTCATCCTAGCGCAAAACTTTTTTTATCTAAAAGCATGTTGTTGTTTTTTATTTTACTAGTGTGTTTTCAATAAGCTGATTTATTTTTGTAATTTCAATTTGTGCACAGCTCATGCTATGTAATGCACAGTGGAGCACCATAAGAAAATCTGATATCCACAAGCTTTACCTGCTGGTAACAAAGTAAAGTATCCGTCCGGGTAGCCTCGGGAACTGAAGACCCTGCAGGTGTAGTTGAGGTAGAAATCCTCCTCCTTCAGTTCGGAGAAGAGAAGCAGCCGCTCCAACCACACACCCTTTGGTTCATCTTGGGTCCACGAACTGTTAGAAAGTCGAATCATTGAAAGCGTCGGCCTTAAAAGGTGGCATCATTTTTCCACTAGCAGAAGTTAATTTAAATGTACCAACCGCAGGTCTGATGTGTAGATGCGGTCAGACGGCTCAGAATCAAACATGACCTTATTTTCGACCAACCAAATGACGTCAACGAACGGTATCCCAGCACCGGGAACAAACACCAGACAACTCTTTGTCAAATTTGACCCTAAAAGCAAGACAGAAGAAATTTGTCAGCCTGACTGTGATTTGCTGAACTCAACCACTGATTTATTTGAATTTTGTCTTTTTTATTTGATATTATTTGGCATGTCTTGTTCAGTATGTTGAAGAGCAAACCAGTTAAATTAACTGTACTAAACAAATCTGGAAGTATTTATGCTTTTGTAAAATACGCTAGACATGTTCGAGCAAACTTTGCACGTCTGATAAGAACATTGCATGGACATTTAAAACACTTAAGACTGTATTGATTAAAAACTAAATGTTTCAAACATGCAGGCACATTTATAAAAGCAAAACATGTCAAAAGGCAGACCTCACCTTTTGCCTCCTTGATAATTTCATTTTCCGGCTTATGAACTTGTGGAACGAGGGAGTACTTATCTGAAAAGAGAAAAAAATTAAAAATGTATGATTTTGTTTCTTGCTATTTGATCATCTCTTTTGTTTGCTTGGTCAAGGCAATTGAATTCTGCCACTGTTGGCATAATGGCATAATAAAAAAATATAATTTAATGGTAGTGTTGCTACACACTCATGCACAGTAGGTGGCGGTGTGCACCTACTGTGCTTACGAGCCGCCATAATAGAAAAGAAGAGTGAATGACAGACTGACACTGGAGGGAATTCTGATCAGAAACTCTAACAAAGTAAATCTGACACCTAAAATAAGAATCCAAACTAACAGAAGGAATGAACTAGAACGAGGTCGTACAAAAGCAAATGAGTCCAAAACCTACACTGCAAAAAGTCCCCTTTCA